AGACCCTGCCCCAGCTCCGTTGCCCTTCTCTGGCCACGCTCGAGTCATTCAATGGCCTTTTTGGGGTGAGGGGCCCAAAACTGAACCCACTCGTTTAGGGGCATCCTCACCAGTGCCGAGCACAGGGCTCAGATCCCTTCCCTGTCCCTGCTGGCCACCCCAGTGCTGACACAAGCCAGGATGCCATTGGCCTCCTTGGCCCCCTGGGCACACTGCTGGCTCATTATCAATCCCCCCAGGTCCCTCTCTGACTGGCAGCTCTCCAGCCACTCCATACCCCCCTGTCCCATCACCAGTCTCCAATTTGGCAAACTAAGCCAGGCACATGCCCATCACATGCCATTCAACAGCAGTATCAGTGTTATCCACTGATCTATCATCTCTTCTGTGTGTCTTGTATTTAAAAACAAAATCATTTTTCTTATTAACCAAAGGGTAAGAAGAGGCCACACGAACCCTTAAAGAGACTAAAAGCCAAATATTAATTCTGAACGACTGTAATAGCTTCATGATCGACAAACCCAAAAGCTCACCATCATTCCAGATGATGTCTTACATGCACTGGCTTCTCTGTAAAATGAATTTACCTTTTCATTATTATTTACTGACTGTGCCTGTATTTCATTTGTATGGATTTTATCCATCAAATCAAGGGAAAAACACAGCCTCAGAAAATCTAATAAAAAGATGGAGACAGTGAACAATCATTGGAGTCTGTATCTTGACTCTTGAGGTCACATTTCCACCTTTTTTATGATGTTCATTTCAGGGAAACAAAAGCAACATTCCGCATGGGAACAAATCAGAGCTGGTCACAGCCTGAACACATTCTTCAGGAGCAGCAGTGCCGAAGAGCACAGCTGTGACAAAACCAAGGGCTCACCCTCAATGTTAGGCTTGAAGAGCTCACTCCTCATCCAAACCCGTATTAAAAATCCTCAAGATGTTTTAGCACCTTCCTAGGACAACTCCATACGCTCACACACGGAATAGCCAAGACCCATGTTTTGCAGAACACACTGGCCTCCATCCATGCTCCAAGTGGTGGCCCTCAGGGGCCGTACTGGGACCAGTACATTTGCTCTCTTCATGAGTGATGCAGTGGGACTGAGCAACACCCTCAGCAAATCCACAGACGACACTAAGCCGAGTGGCGCTGCTGACACAACCGAGGGAGGCGATGCCAGAGGGACCTAGACAAACTCAAGAAATGGGCCCATCTGACCCTCACGGAGTTCAACAAGGCCAAAGGCAAGGTCCTGCCCGTGGGTCAGGACAAGCCCAAGCACAAACACAGGCTGGGTGAGGAGTGGAGTGAGAGCAGCCCCTAGGAGAACTTGGGGGTATTAGTGGGTGGAAAACTGCCTGTGAGCCAGAAATGTGTGCTCACAGCCCAGAAACCAACCGTGTGCTGGGCTGCACCCAGAGCAGTGTGGGTAGCAGGGAGGGGAGGGAGACCCCCCTGCAGGGCTGGGTCCAGCTCTGGGGGCACCAACAGCAGAAGGACACGGACCTGCTGGAGCGGGGCCAGAAGAGGCCACAAAAATGACTATAGAAGGACGTTTTCCATCCCTCTGAGGACAGGCTGGGGGTGATCAGCATGGAGAAGGCTCCGGGGAGACCTTATTGCAGCCTTTCACTACTTCAGGGTGGCTTATCAAAAAGATGGGGACAGACTTTTGAGGAGGGCCCGTAGCAACAGGACAAAGGATAATGGTGATTCAGACTAGATGTAAGGAAGAAATTTTTTTTGAGGGTGGTGAAACACCAGCACAGGTTGCCCAGAGAGGTGGTAGATGCCCCATCCCTGGAAACATTCAAGGCCAGCTTGATCGGGGCTCTGAGCAACCTGGTCAAGTTGAAGCTGTCCCTACTCATTGCAGGGGGCTTGGGTAGATGACTTTTAAAGGCCCCTTTCAACCCAAACTGTCCTATGATTCTATAAAAACACTATTATTATACTACAACTTCAGTTAGAGCTTGCAGTCTAAGCTAAGACACAATTGCATATAAAATCAGGCTTCCTTAGTGTTAGTGCTGGTGTTTCTCCAACACCTAGTTATTGTCCAACATCCAGTAACTAGGAACTTCCTTCTAGGGCACTGGTACTAGTCCCTTGGACTGCTTTTATCTTAGTTATGTGCCTTTAGGGTGTTCTTTGGCCCCTTCCACACATACCTCAATACTGCTTAAAATCCTTTCCACTCCTCCAGCAAGAATTTGCAAATTGGATAGTATCTGGACTGTTCAGTTCTTGAGAAGTACTAGTCAAAACACAGAAGAGAAGGAACACATCACATTTGCCAGCTTAATGTCTTCTACAAGTTGTATCAGCTAAACAGTGGGGGAGAGGAAGGTAGGAAGACCTAAAGCTTAACCAGAAACCTCTATCAAGCTGTTCAGTAGCAGAGAGGACAGGGATGTTTTTAACTACCTTAAATCTCAGGACAAAACATAATTTAGATTCGGGCCCAGGAGCTTCCAGAGTCAATACCGAGATTTTTTAATGTCGAATTTCCAAGGACTCTAGATTTGAGTATTTTCATTAGTCTCCATGTCAAGCATGAGCTTTGTATAATGATACCCTGCATGTGTCTCATGTATCAGAGGCAGAGCAACTTACCAGGATAGAAACAGAACCCTTGGCTATACCCACTGTGTCAAGGAAGAAACAGTCTGTAGAGTTCAGCAACAGAGGAATAATTAAGGTCATTTGAATTTGATTCCATCATCAATGAAACCCAACTAGCTGGTTTTTATGTCCAAAGCCAGTGAGGAACATACATGTTCTGTTAGAGCTTGAAAGGAGCCACCCCTTCTCTAAACTCAAAGATCTTCCTCTAAATCTAAATATTAGGTACATAGGTCCTTGAATAAGAATCAGTGCTCTACGTGCCCAGCACAAGGAACTAAGATTTCAACTGCCGCACAGATTTCTTGAGCTGTCTCTACCCATCCAACCAAATTTCACAGCACCACTTCCCAGATCTGTCAGGGGAAAAGGAAAAAAAATGCACTAAAAGCTTTCCAAAGGCAGTAGAAAGAAGAGGGCCACTTAACTGGCCTTGAGCCAAGCGATCCCTTCTATTCACTGTCCTGCTGTCAGCTGTTGTGGTACACGTCACTGCCCTGTAATATACTCCTCCAAAGTTAGCAGACTCATTTCCAAGCCACTTGGATGTGGCTCTCATGTCTGTAACCAACCCAGGATATGGTCCAGAACCATCTCTTGGTAGTCACCACTGCTCACACAGCCTCTCTGAACACAACATTTCTAGGCAGGTATGAGAAGTCTAGGGATAGTGCCAAAAACCTATCATGCAGGGCAATGTTTTGTTGGTAAAGATGTGTGAGCAACTGCAGGTTCAAGAAACCTCATCAGCTCATTCATTCACCTGTATCTTCTCCACTCTCGCAGCAATTAACAGCTGAGTAAATGATGCCTCTTCTCACGCCATAGCAATATACTCATGCAGTCCTGGGTGCCACTCGTTTAGCTAATCTACATGTTTTCTTGATAAGTTCTCTCCAAGATAATGCAGATTTTGTTTAACACTGAGTTCAGGAGAGGCTATTTGTAAATCTGTTGAAGTCACAGATTCTAAAAAAGTCTTTGGCTTGCCAAAAAAACATTTCATTACAACATCCTTGTACTGCTTTACTGTCATCATCCTCCTTAGCAGGGCTTCTTGTCTTCCAACCTAGCTTTGCCCTAAGCAAGAAGCAAACTGCAGTCTTTGGCACTTCTCCCCAGACTCACAATCCTGCTGCTATATAAAGCTGCACCTAAGAGGGCATCCTAGTGACCACGGTTAAGGTTTCAAAAACCACCACAGTTCAATTATGGATGACCAAAAGCAGGAAGAAAGCAGAGGGACATCAGCCCACAGACTGGGAAGATTCTCGTAGGAACCACTTATTTAAGCCTTCACCAAACCAATTCCTGTTCCATCTACAGAGGACTACAGCACAAGCTATACCTTAGAAGAAAAATTTTATATATATGGTTATACACACACCCCAATATTTATACATAATAGATTTTTAAATGTTACCTAAATTGTATTTTATGTTCACATGCATGCGCAGACATGCAGGTGTGTTTTTAAGAAGTTAAGTCATCCTTACACAGCTTCCTACCACAACTGCAACCCAGGAAAGCTCATGCTCACAGCCAATATCCATAAATTATGACAAACACATTCATTAGCCCAGATCTTGCATGACAAGTTCATCTTAATACTGCTGTAACTCAGTTCAAAGTTGAACTAGGTTCACATTAAGCGTAAGCCTTTGCTGGGTCTCACTCATCCTGCCACTCTAGCCCTCTTCATATAAACAATTTTGTACTCAAAGGCCTGTCATGTTAACCCAAAAACATTTCTCTAAGACTCCCTTCCCAACGTTTTTTTCCAAGGTCACACACCTCCAACAGGCTTCACGAGCAGATTTCCAAGGCAGAGTACAATATGATGCATGCCTACATAATATTCACTGAATATATATATTTGTTCTTGTGTAAGCGCATGGATCAAGGGACAATGAAAAACACATCAGGAAACCCTTTTTTGGGAGACAGTTGTTAAACTTTGATTATTGGCTGTGGAATAGTAATTTTTTTTTTTTTCAGCATTGAAGTGAAAATTTCTTTGCTAGGAGAAAGGACTACTTATAAATGAACTCAGCTTGTTACAAATTTAGCAGCTTAGAGGTGCTTTCCAGTTAACTGTAAATTCAGTAGTTAAGTCTCCCTGATGTGACTTCATGTTGTAATTTCAAGTTCAGTGTGTGATGAGCCACTCCCACACTTAGAAAGTAAAAGTTCCTTAGAGTACGAGGAGAAAAAAAAAAAAAAGGAAGAGTCAGGTTAGAAATTGGGTAAGAGTTCAACTACACTTGCACCAGTGACTGAGGTTCCCATAACACTAAGTTTAAGTTTTCAGGAAGTATAACTGTTTTATTTACACACACATTGAGGGAAGAGTATAAATGCCACACAAACCCATTAGAAATATAGAATTTATTTTTCTTTATATTCAGACAGCAATATATTGCAGATTTGAACATGCCACATCTTGTATCACAGGTGACTGAGGGATCCTAGGTTTATGGCTATTGCTAGCCCAGACCAACACAAAGTGTGTTTCTGGAGTGGCTCTCTTGAGATCTTTAAGCCATTAGCAGTGATTTTTGCAGAAGGGTGGTCTTCCACTTCATAAAAATCCACCTATCACAGCTACATTATTCAGCTGCTCACTGTATCTTACCTTTACAGCTCCAGATCTCAGGCAAGTCATCTTGAGAGTAGCAGTGGACAGGGAGATTGAGGACTTGCCCCTCATCTTCCCTCAGGCACCAGTTCTCAATAAAGGCAATACCATGTTATAAGGCCACCACATTCCTCATGGTCCATGAACTGTGCTTTTGGCAGGGCAGCTCCTTGCCCATCCTCAAGGCTCTGTGGCCCTTGCTTCCATTGCCCCCTCGCACATCCAGGTGCAAGTTAACCTAGAGAGACAACCTTACAGCTCTGACAACACCCTAAAACATGTTAAATCATCTACAACTTAAAGTCTCTGAGCAACAGGAAAAAAAGACAAAATTTTGTTATGTTTAAAGCTTCTGAGTACCATAAATGAGAGGTATCTTGACAAGCAGTGTCCTGACAGCATCTGTTCAGTGTACTCCATCCTGACAAGCTTCTGGTGCTTTTGGCCTTCTGTCCCTCCACACACTCAGCTAGAGAATACCAGGAGCTGCCGTGCACCACCACACACAGGTGGGGAGGGGGCATGGAGCAAGAAGAGCGAAGAGGAAAGGTGATACAGAGACCCTGCCCTTGGCAGGCTCTGCACCAGCCACACACAGAATACACATACACACGAGGAGGGGTTTTGCTGCTCCAGTTTTTGTGTTTGGGGTTTTTTTAAATTACAAAACATTATTCCTGCTAAGGCTGGTTGTGCAAAATTATTTTTCAAGAACCACCCCTTAGTCTGACTCTGTTCCTGTAGACAGACTTCCTATTGATCCATTTCTTACTAGCATCTTGCTGTAGTTTTTCTGCTGTTCTTCTTTGAAAGTATCTTTGACTTTTGCTCGTTTCAGACCTCCATCCCTAGAACAAAGCAAGAGAAAAAAATAGCAACCCATCATGATTGTTACCACTGCTGTTAAAAACTACGTACTGTATTATCTTACTCAACTCTAGAGTCTTAACCTAAGATTATTAATGCTTTTCTTCAAAACTTCTAGAACACCAAAGTTTAAGCATGTTTAATGCTTACACAGTCCAAATTTTGAGTTTAGCCCATTAAAGCAGCCTACTCATGTAGGCAACAGGTTGCACCTACCATAGAGATCTTTGCCAATCTGGGATGCTATTTCCCTAGACTGTAGAGGGAGTCAGTCTTCTGCAACACCATAGTTGTTTCTTGCCTTGCATCACTCAGAGAGCCAGCTGGGCCTCATAACTGAACCGTTCTCTTCATCAGGATCTTGCTCTCAAGTTTGTTTCATACAGTCCTATGACATCTAGACATTATGCTGCTACCTACTGAGGCAGGACATGAGGCTTTCTGCTCCGACTTTCTCAAGCCCTGTGTTTTATTTTCTGTTGTTCGTCAGCTTTGCCAAGTAACTTCACTTCTGCTCCTTAATCTCAACATGAGAAATAACTGTGAAGGGGCCCTTCTTCAAAAGCATCAAGCCTTTAGGCAAAACTCACTGCATGAGAGCTACATGCTCCACAGACTTTATGCACCTTTTTTATTTGTACTTCCACATATGTGCATGTGAAGTTACTCCCTCATTGTCTCCTGAGTGGAATAAAGTTGAATGTTATGTGACACAAAGCTAAGGGAGGAAGCACATCTCAAACTAACAACGAACAGTCCACCAAGTTTCCCAAGGATGGCACCACTCACCAGGGAAGTTCAGTCAGTCCTCCTTGGCGAGCAATGGCTGACCTCACTCTGTTGGCAAACTGAACTGCATCTTCGCCTTCCTTCAAGGGTCAGGAACCCAACATAATCAGAGAGAAGCAAATTTGAAACAGACTTCCATAACACTTTTCATCTGCCGCCTCATCAAATTAGCTCACTGCCAAACGATCCACCCCTTATCATGCCAACACAATCTGATGTTCCAATATGACAGTCATTTCGCTCATTCTTCCACTAAAGTGTTTGAAATTAGGGGAAAGTGTTTCTCCCAACAAGATGGAACATTAACAGCGTGGTTACTGTGAACAGCACTGTATTTGCTGCTATCCTTTGCATATTTGATGCTCTGCTGATGGTACCATCAGAAAAAGCTAAGTCAAATCACACAAAGTCAACATTAACAAAACTCCAGTATAAAACTCTGATTTGGAGACATGGGGTGGGGAGGTGTTTTGGGGGGGGAGTAAAGAGAGGCACTAACAGACACAGTCAAGCTCTTAAAGAGTGATCAGTTAACCAAATGCTAGCTTACCTTTCTAACCATTGGTGGCATATACCAGACGTTGCAGACAATGGCCCAGCTGGTCATTATTCGCAGCAGATAGCTCACAATGTTGTATTTGCTGCTGTTCCAGAAGGCATCTCCAAACTGAGGATCATACTGCAAGGGGTCATAAATCAAAGTTGTAGAAGAATTTTAAGCACAACCTCTGGTGTGTTTGAAATAGATTTTTAAGGCCTAGTGGAATGTGTTCAGGACTACCTTGTGATATTACCAAGGTAACAGGAACACTGCTCCACAGGCCTGAGAAGTGTTCTCAGCCTGCTGCTTGTATAGTCTCTGCCCAAGGCTGGCTTAAAACCCCATCAAGCTAATCCTAGAAAGACAGTTTTAACAAAGGATGATGAATTGACTAAACACAGGGGTTTTGCTAGATTAATAGAATTTAACACGTAGAAACTGCTTGCTCTACCCAAGCTTTTAATAGAACATCTTGAAGTCTTTGTCAGAATTGTGTGAGATGAAAATGAGTGGAAGGAAGATGAAGAAGATGACCTGAAAAGATGACCCTGAAAATGAAACAAGTATTGGAACCAGAAGAGAAGAATTTGGCTGAGACAGGGGATTATAGTAAATGATAAGTGATGAGAATCAAGAACTAAAAAGGTTGAGTGGAAGCTTACAAAGACTTTGGACTTGGGTAAGAGATTTCGGAGCAGTATAGAAACTGCACGAGTCCTTCGACACTGGCTGTTCTCTGCGGCCTTGGCCCAACCCCGAGTTATTAATAAAGCAAACCTAGAGATACCCATATCTGGTCATTCTGTTTCTCCCTTGAACACAAGGGATAAAAACCTTTCCCCACAGACCACCAGAGCCTGTCTCAGATCCAAGGTGGATGCTCTCAGTCATGTGCCAGAGTAAGAAAATTCACTACTGACATGTTTGCTCAGAAAACAATCAGCCTGTGCTTATTAGCACTGCTTGTGATTGCACAACAGGACCAGCAGCAGTGTCACCCAAACAGCCAGAACAGCCAAGTCTGCTTCCAACTGCATCAGATTCTCTTCCCTTTAGTGCTGGGAAGGACTAGCTGGATCTCCCTTCCTTCCAGCTCTCTGGAGGAAGAAACTGACCCCACCAGGCTGACCCCAGCCAGGCTCCACAGGCTGAAGGCCTTCACTTTCTCCTTTCAGCCACCTATTCTCCAGGAGTCATCTGCAGCATGGAGCCAATTGCCAGAGCCACTGTGCTTTCATTAGCAGTTGTACTGAGACAGCTCCCTACCACCCTGGCAAAAAACAGAACCCAAACTTTCAATAGCCAGCTATTTCCACTTACTTTGATCGCAACAGGATAGATTGTCCCTCCTATTTCAAAGCTCCCCTTCTTGAACATCATCACAGATGTATTGTTGATGCAGGTGCCTGTCCAGAAGAGAAACTAAAGTCATTACTCCACACAACCTACCACATTTCAGTAGCAACGCTACATCAAGATACAGATCTTAAGCTCATGAGCAAATGCAGGCCCTTAAGCATCTCCTCCCTGCTTGCTTTCATTCTTTGTCTCATGACTGACTGAAGTCAGAACGTGTAAGACAAGAAGCACAAGGCTGAGGTTAAATCTGTAGGATGGTGAAATATTCACAGGGCAAAACAAACCATCTTCCCACTCTTATGCTTACAGCTTCTGCCAGGAGACCCAACAGCATTGTGTTGTTTTCATCTAATCTCACATTAAAGATGAAAAATAAGAGTGCCCTCATAAAATACTAAGCCTGAGGAGGTAAAGATACATTTGAGTACCAGAAGCCATGAAAAGAGAACAGGGATAACATCTACACTGAGTGGAAATAAGGAAAATTCAGCTTACCTTCTGGAAAAATTAAGATCGGGAGCTTGCTTTTATCCGCCACATGTTCCCTGAGTCTGTGGAAGCACAACCAAAGCTTAAACACCAGCTCCTTTCCACTCTTCTTTAGCCAGACAGATGCATTAGAAATATATTCACAAATAACAGATTTGTTTAAAACCAAAGCCTTTTACTGTAAACTAATTTGTACTTGCTTTTCTGTTTGATAAACCTGAAGCTTTGTGCAAGCCATCCCTTAGGCCCCTGGTGCATTACACTGAGACAACATCCTGTTTTCTTTCCTCTGTATTATTTTATTAATGACTGTCAGGGAAGCTAACAAATATATGTCATTAAGTCAGTTCAATTAACTCTGATCAACTCAACCTGCAAGAAATTACCTACACAAAAACCTTGTGCAGTGGTCCATCCAGGCTCTGCTTACTTAACAGCAGATTTCTTAAAAAGGACAACTCCTAAATGCTTACAGCTCACAGAATTTGAGTAACAAGTGGCAAAGCTGTCCTGCTGCAGAGGCCAGTGAGGTGGTGAAGTTCACCTGTCAAAATTAACCTGGAAGTTCTTTAAAAATCAGGAAGAATTTATCTCGCTGTACTACACATACCAAATGGGTATGGCTTCGGTGACCTTCTGCAGAGAACTGCCCTCGTACACAGCTCACTGTTGTAGCTAGGTACATTTCTTGCCCCTCATACAAATGAGCAAAGCTTGTTATTTCTAGTGGCTCATAATTTTGAATGAAGTGAAGACAGTTCACATCACAGAAATACTGATGGAAAAAATGGACTTTCTCTTCAGCAGAAAGTCTCAGAATTTGAACTATCTTCACATCCTTTCAAAATGTGTTATCTAAATCCATCACACTAGCTATGATGCTGATGGCTACCCAAACGAGATGTTTTGTGGCAGTCTGCTGCAATCCAGACCTTAGAGCCTCTGCTCTGAACCCTTTCACCCTTCATAGACTTGTCAAGCCTTCCTTGGGGACCTGGGAAGATGACATTTTGCCTGCAGTCTACTGTTCCCAAGCCCCCTCAATCAGGCCTATCTGGATCATTCTGAACGATCCCGTGTACTGCACACAACCCCTCCAACTCACTCCTGCTGAGCCACTACTACAGCGATTGCTTCCACTCCTACCTACATCTACCCCCATTTCACAGAATCACACAACCATCTAGGTTGGAAGAGACCTTGAAGATCATCCAGTCCAACCACTGAATTTGCAATGCCCTGAATCATCCCAGCCTACAGTAACATGGAGTTACAGATAACTCACAACCCTGTGATCAGCACTGATAAGCAGCAGTCATCATTTGGAATAACTAGATACAGCTCCTGCTAGGAGACAGTCAGCCTTTTGCCCTCTCAAGGGCCCAAGGTTCCAAGTTCCCTGTCTCCCACAGCAACCTCATCAGCTTCTCAGGCTTCTGCCTTTCCAAAGCTTTAACTCCTTATCTGGGTCTTTGATTGTTCCATGCCTCTTCGGGGATTAGATACCCGACCATGGCTCTCAGGCACTAGTAGTTACTAGAGTCAGAGCAGCACTGCCATCCCCTGTCCCAGCCCACCCCTCACCTTTTGGTCACTAGAAGGCGATCTTTCATTTCCGAGCGTTCAAACCAGACGTGAGGACAGGCCTTGACTGCAGCTCTCTGAATAACTCCCATTAGTCCACCGTGAACCTGGCCAACCTGCGAGCCCAAGGGGAGCATATGAGACACCTGAAAAAATGAGAAGTTCCTCTTCTGCATCCCCCCACCCCCCCAAAAAAAACCCCAAACAGAAACACTGGAGACTGCAAACCAGGATTGGGCAGTGTCCATAAAAGCTATTAAGATGCATTCCCTTGGAAGGATCTAGATGCATGTGTGGAAGATGATCTCAAGTGTTTCACCAGATGGAGCACCTAGCACTGACACTGCCAGGACCACCTCACCAGCATGGAACTTGGAGACCAACTTCTACACAGTTCACACTCTTCCCCACTGACTGGTGCTCAAGCTACTCTCTCTCCTGTGAAAATTAAACACTGAACTCCACAACCAATACCCCACAATCTCTCCCTCAGCTGTGGTCGCCACAGATCCCCTCTTACCATTGCATAGCATCCATCGTTGGTCAAAATGATTGCATCTATTGGTGATGTGTGGTTGGCAACACAGATTCCTCCTTTCTGAGGTTTGTTTTCCCTGAAATTACATTTTTTTTTTTGTTAGACTACTAGCACACTCATCACCACATGACACGCAGCAGTTTCACAAAGCTGTCAGGTGGCTCAGCATCTAGTGTTACATTAACCTGCAGGTCAGGAGAGCGCTGCACCATTTCAAAAGGGGCAACTCGCACACACAGAAGTACACACACACACACACACACACACACACTTCTGTTATGGTAACACCAGCTCACTCACTTGTTATGGTAGTGGATAGTACCAGACAGAGCTCTGACAAGGATGCGGGAGCATGTGAGGTGGACCACTTCACTCAGATAGTTTTTCACACTGAAAGAAAGAACAGGCATTTGGAGCATCCTGGAAAGCAGCTAGACACACACACACAATAATCCTCAGCCTACTCAACACAACTCAGGGCTGAAACTTTCCTGGTACTCTGGGATATTCCAGAGCTCTACCAGAGTACAGAGGGATATTCCCAGCTCTACCACTCACTCTCTACAGCAGCTCAGCCAAGACATGTCATACCCTCGCTCCCGCTGACCCAGGCAAGGCTGTCATCTCCTCACTGGTTATTTTTTTTATACCGGCACTGTTCTCCCTTACCACGCTCCCTCCAAGTCTCTCATGACAGCAAGAGGAGCCCATCAGAAACCACCAGCTTCACTTGCCAAGCCTGGCAAGAAGCCAACCTCAGTCCAAGTTCCAAATGCCACTAAAAAGCAACACCACAAGTTTGTGGGTGTAGTGGTCTATCAGTAGTCTACCACCTGTAAAAATCTGTCCAGTCCTAACCTCGAGCAGCTTGCACTGATGTAACTTGGCAAGTTCATTCCGCACACACCACAGGCAGCACCTACCTGCTGTTTGGCAGCTGTCCTACCATTGTTGTCCCCACAATCATTGAGGTAATCCCAATGGCAGCAAGAGTAAAGCTACAGATAAGAGAGACATCAAGATAAGTAGTTTTGCTCATTTTAATTCACTTTTCCCTTTAAAATGGAAAAGGATTGCAGGAATTCAGTTATTCCTCAGATACTTCATGTATCCAGTTCTCTAACAGTAATTCCCTGACATGTTCAAAATCATGGTCTAGCCAAAGCAGCAGATTCAGATACCTCAGTGCATGTAGTGTCAGGGAGCATTACAGCTCACCCAGCTTACACTTATGTTGACATTATGGATGATTTTGGGGAAGCATTCACAGGAAAGATGACCCACGGGCTCTAACATTCTCTCCCTAGTAAATGGCAAGATAAAAGTGCTCTGAATGGCTTCTTAAGCATTCAAAGGAGAGTTCAGGTGGGTTCATCTTCTCTATCTGCTAATGATGCTTTTGGGTTAAAAAAGCTGAGATGCCATTTCTCAAGAAAACATGTATTTATGTGTTCCCAGGCTGACAAAATCCCTCAGCACCCACGAGCTTACCGCAGAGGCAGGAGGAAGCAGTACCGCACTATAACCCCGATGCCCCACACGATGCTCAGCCTCAGGCTGATGTAGTGGAAGTTGACATTAGTCCTTGTGAGGAGATTCCAGGACACCAGCTCTTCAGAGGAAAACCTCTGGGTGACTTCATCTTCCACAATAGCCTCGAACCCTTTTCTGCAGAAGTAGAATATGTCAGAGAATTCAAAGTTCACTCGATGCAGACGTGCAATTTCTTTCTCCATAGGCGTTTCATCTCTTTCAATGATACCTGGGGAATGAGAGAGTAACTGTAAGAAGAAATAATTCTACACAGTAACAATCACCCTCCAAATCACTCACTGCTCTGCATTACAAGACAAGACAAATTTACTGTCCTGTGACAGCAGGATCAGATGGGCAGCTGAACACAGCATACTCTTCAGTAAGCCAGTTCTAGCTCCTCTTCCTCACAAACACCTCGAGCAGCAAATATATCACATTATGTTGCCTGCTGAAGGTGAAGCAAGGCAGCAAGCCTTTTCCCACCATCCCACTTAGCAACTTTACCCCAAGACCATCTTATGGAAACCAAGCCTCTGGCCTTCCCATTCTCTTCTCCTGGTGCTGTGAGTATTTAAGGGCATTCAGTCTCCTCCATGGTGGCTTCCCTGCCCCCAGGCCTGTCTCTTGTCAGACATTCTGGTTCCCCACAGCCACATTCAGCTGAGACACGCTCCCAGAGCACCACAGCTACCCAACATCTGCACACAGACCTGCTTTGAACCGAACATCTCCCTCGCTTCACAACACACTTCCTTTCTATAAGTAGACAGGACCACGCTATTTTTTTAGTTTGAAGCAAATAAAAACCCTCCAAAAAACAGAAAGTCAGAATAACTTATGCCTAGAGGTACCTTGCTATAATTTAGTTTGTCACTAACAGCTGTGTTTCAGTTGAACTCTGCCCACATAATGCCTGGCAATAGAAAAGAAACCTGAAGAGTTCAGAGCTGCAGCACAAATAGCCAAATATTCCCTCCCACCAAGATACAAGTCCCACAAATCACTGAGAACAACATGCAGGAGAGATGTCACACTGCAACAAAACCCATTAGCACCTTGGCTCCAAACTTGACAGCCATGACTTGCAATTCCAACAGTGGACCACCTCAGTGCACTGTTCTATTGCTAGGCTATATATATAAACCATTAATATGGCACACCCAAACACCCGTCAAGATCTAAATTATACACACATGAACCACATCAAGCATTTCCCACAATGGACTACACTTGTGTTGCATTTTAAACCCGGACCTAGTTTGTGTTTTTTCTCTCTGTCAGTCCATTAAAGCTCCAAGCTGTGAAACATCCAGGACTGCAGGTGAGTGAGCCCAACCTGTCTGCTCCAAGCTGCTGCTGGGGTGGGAGACAGCTCACAGCCAAGACACTGTGCAGCAGCCATCGCACCAGTACCACTCCTCTCTCCGGTTCCCAGAGAACAGGGAATGATTCCTCCTTATCCAAGCAGCTGGTGAGCCTGGCTCCAACAGCCTGACTGAAACCAGCCCAGGGTTCGAGTTTCCCTCACTGCTGGCACAGCCCAGAGAGTGTGGCTGTTGCCTCTTGCCTCACCAGCCCACGCTGTCCTTGTCACAGGACACCCCACGCACAAGCTGCCTGGCAGCCCTGGCACAAGCTATTCTGAGCCAAGACCTCAGCAGCACCTGAACATATTATGACCAGAATTAAAACACATGCTGTTCAGCTGATCTTGTAATAAGAAGTAACATTTAATGGCCTTTAATCCCTTGGCTATGGGTAGAGTTGAGTTTGCCAAAGACAGCTAAAAGGTAGCACTATGCAGCAGTACAGCAAACATCACTCAACCAAAAAACACCATAGCTGCTGCATTACTCAGTGTCTCAGCACGACCCCCAAGTCTTCGAGCTCACACACTCAGTCAGCTAATTACACCAGGCTCAAATTTTACACTATCCCCTTACAGTCATATTATTTACATAAGCCTTTCTTTTAGTAGATGTCACTTTCCAAACTCTGACTTAACAGCATTTTTGTGGTTTTTAAACCCAACAACTTGAAGAGGCCAGCCTTCTGACACAGCCAACACCCCCACCAAGCGCTGAGAACTGGCCTCTCTGCAATGAGACAGACACCTGGCCTCCAAGCATCTGCTGAGCCAAGAGCTACCGCCAGGCACAGCACATAACCATGCTGCCCTCTAACACAGCAGGACAGGTGACAGCACCAGGTAATTCCCCACACAGCAGCTACACCAGCCAGCATTTTTCTTGGGACTGTTCCTTATCACACCACCAATGCAGGGGCACTGGCTGCACTGGCAACAGATGTGAAATACACTGGGTTTGGTACTGCAGAGAAAGGTGGTGTCTCCTCAGTCACACTCTTGTCTCTCATGTTGAGGGACACTGGATTTTAAGGCCTTCAGGGAGGACAATTTTTCCTCTGCCTGGGAACAGGCAAACTTGCCCTTGCACATACACCTGCAATGCTCCCTCCTGTCCTGACCCAACTCCTACTGAAGACTGGATGCTCAGAAGAGATAGAAGAGGTGCTACACATTCTCCTTCAGCACTTAACACACATATGTGTACACACACAGACACTTAACCTTTACCCTGTTTTAATCAGCTACTCCATAACTCATTATCACCAAGAATTTCTCCTCCCTCAGTAAATATCGCATAATGCAATTGGGCCTCTCCACCTGTCCATGTTCTGTCACCTCATGGAACACCAGCTTATCTACTGCAGTGTTAGGGCTACACCTGTCCCAGCCCTCGAGTACTTTCATCCACGTACAGGAACCCAGAGTCCTAATCACAACTCAGACCTATGCTTAAAAAGCTCTCAAAAGCAATATACAGAGCCCAGCTTGGCACTGCAGACTCCACATCTCCCCTGCTCCCCATACCTTCTCAAGTAAGGAATAGTTAGACTCCAGCTTACTGCACTAAGAGCCACCTACAACAGGGAAAGGTTTTAATTTTCATTTCAAATATAAAAAGGACATTAAGAGTCTGCTTCGGGCGGCCAATGTGATTGTGTGTCCCCATCCATAAAACCACCTGAACACGGCCTGCATACAATCACCTATATGGATTACCTAGAGTCATTATATAGTCATTCAGGTTGGAAAAGACCTTTAAGATGGAGTCCAGCCATAAACGTAACACTGTCAAGTCCACCACTAAACCATGTCCCCAGGTATCACATCTATACCTCCAGGGATGGTGACTCAGCCACTCCCCTGTGCAGCCTGTGCCAACACCTGATATCCCTTTTGGTGAAGAAATTTTTCCTAATATTGACTCTAAGCCTCCCCTGGCACTACTTGAAGCTGTGCTCTCTTGTCTTATCACTTGCCCTCACTCCAACCTCCTTCCAGGTAGCTGTAGAGAACAATAGGTCTCCCCACAGCCTCCTCTTCCCCTGTTCCCTCAGCTGCTCCTCACAGGACTTGTTCTCTCGAGCCTTCAGCAGCTTCATTGTTCTTTTTTAACATCCTCCAGCACCTCAATGTCTTTCTTATAATGAGGGCCCAGTTCTTGAAAGACAGAGTGGCAACTTCTCATCATAGCTGATGAGATCTTGAGCTGATCTCCACTTATTTCTCTGCATGAGCCCAGAGGACAGGTCCCCGGTCACTGAAATGGGAATCCTGCTCTTGGGATACCCAGAGGGCTCTGCAGAGACCATTTTACTATCACTGAATACTCCAGAGTGGAATGCCCTCAGATCAGCCCAGGTTCTGAACTACAGCACGTATTAGAACTATACACATTAGTTACACATACAGGGGGAACAGGCACTTGTAGGTTTATGGAAACATAGCTCAGAGCATAATCTACTAGCTGAGTCCCCTCTTCCTTTACCTTTCTTTTCTAGAGAAGAAAAAAAACCTACATGCCAGAACAATCAGATGTCTAAGAAGAGCACCTACTGCATGGCTAAAGCAGCAGAGTTGAACCTCTTGCCCTGTCACTGACCCGTGACACCATGGGATACTATCACACTCACAGGAAGAAAAAGGGTATCTGACTGCATCACTGACAATGTGTGAAACACAGATAGCAGGGCACTGATATTATTTGGAAGGATCACTCACCTTGCTTTCCCCTCACCCCAAATAAACCACCCCACAACTTTCAGGACACTGGTGAGTGATACAGGACGTACTTTTTTTTCAGCCACTTTCAAGTCAGCAATTAAGACAAACTTTAACCTGTTTTTAAGAGCTGCTGTAGAGTAGCTCCTGTTTATTATTACAAGTGTTAACCAACAGTCAGTTCTGCTGCCATCAGAGCCTGTGTCATGCCTGGCCTGCAGGTAGTACAAACCAGTGTTTTGATAAAAATATTCCTTTGGAGACAAAACACAGTAGTTCAGTGCTATATACTGTATCATGTTCATATGAGCCAATTTGTAAAATCAGGAAACAATTGACTTGTCTACTAACTGGCAAGCTGGTCCTGTTTCCAGCTGTGCTGCCTAATGAAGGAGCACACAGAAAATGCTGACACTGAAAATCAAGTACTGAGGAGTCAGGGACCAGGAGAAAACCAAGAACCAGAAAACTGGCTGCAATGCCTTGTGCAGCCTTCTCCTATTTCTGGTACACCTTCAGACTGCTCCCTGCACTTACAACTCCGAAGCCTTACAGCCAACTCTGACCTAGTACAGCCTAGCACAGCACACACAGTGTAGGGGTTAAGATACAGTAAAAGAACTAGTTTCAAAATTAGGCTAAAGGAAGAAATATGAAGCAACTCTTCAGTTGCCTTTCTACAGATATGATTTAAGAAGTTTGTCTAGCAAACACAGCTAACTCCAGGGCATGAAACACCACATGTTTCCACCCAGCAGTCCTATAACAGACCAAGCACAGAGCTTGGGAAGGAAAAGTGCTGTCCCCTAAACATTCAGATCTCCTCTGAGATCACGTGTACTCTGATGATGGTAGGACTGAGATAGCTGGCCAGCAGCCCTGCAAAGCAACCTGAAGCCAGCTTTCAAGGCAAAAATCAAGCTCATAGCGTATCTCAAAAATCTCCCTCAACAGAGGACAGTCTCCATCTTAAGCTCTACTTTGCTTTGCTAAACTTAGTGTTATTGCATACCCTTCATTTCCTCATCCCCTGATTTTTCAATCATTCAGTACAAGCCAGTAAAAGACGCATTTCATTCTGCAGGAACCGTTCTTGTGCCAGTAGCATTGCAAAACCAGTCAACGTAACAGTTTGCTTGTAACCAGCCCACCTCTTCTTCAGTTCTCTCACACATACATCTACCTTCTCCATTTGAAGGGATTCAGTTCTCCTACTTTAGAATATCAGTCTTAACAATTTGATTTTACCCCAAGCTCTCACCATTAGCAGCAGGAGTCTTTAGCATCTGTGGCTGTGGCTTTTTGACACCTTTTTCTATCCGTATGGTGGCCCACTGTGGAGAGAAAAAAAACCAATTTCACAAATGTGGTAACAACTTGAAAAAAAGTCACCTAAAAAAGCAACAGTTAAATCAGGTTGTGATTTTCAAATAATATTTTTACCAGGTAATCACCATCCATCCTCTCAGAGATGTGTCCACAAATCCACACACAGCTCCTCTGAGAAACACTGCCTCAGTGTATTTAATAATAAAAAAACCCCACTCAGTGCTGGCAAGTACTTCACAGCTCTGCTTGCCAATCTTTGGAGAGCTGACTCGGTGCTTCACAGGTGTTTCAGCTGCAGTTCAGACACACAGTCCCCCCCCCCGAGCCTGATGGGCCTCAGTCTGCCTTTCTACTTGCACACCAGCCACAGAGCCATGGCTGCACGGGAAGCTCCACAAGTTGAGCTAGACAACAGCCCCCGAGCACACGGCATGTGCTCACAGAGCCAACAGACACACGGCAGCTCAGCTTGTCTTCTTTTAGAGGAGTTTCACCATACTGAAAGGAAAAGACACAGTCCTAACTGGGTTAAGTCAAACTGAGGCCTGCACACAGCTAACTGCTAAAAACCAAAACAGCACTCGCAGCCATGGTTAGTCTTATTTAAGTTTGGTCTCAGTCTAAAGAGGATCGCACCCATGATTTTTTTCCAAGCTCAACAAAAATGAAAATTTCCCTTGATTCTGCAACTTGCTCATTTCTTGGCATTTTAGAACTCTGAGCAGCAGAGAAACAGGTCAATACACCAGCTCTAGTGTACAGCTGCAGAGCCCCTTTCCCTGTCCTTGGGAAGGGCTGCCAGCTCACCAGGGTTAACCTGTCCTCTTCTAGTGGGTGGGCTGGGAGAAGGAGATTGAAGTAGGTGATAAAGTAAGCTCCAATCTCCAAGTGTCAAAGCCTCCCCACAACCCTGCTCCCTGCAAATCACTGTGGCAGAACCACAGGGGTGTCAGGAGACCTCCTCTCATCTCCAGCCCTGATGATGCTGGAGCCAGTTTAACCTGTTTTTAGGCCAAAAAGCTTTCTTCACCTCCAGCTGACTCAGTACCACACAGTGCTTTTAAACAGCCCCTCTTCCTCCTACATCTCAACTCATTTCTATTGGGTTAACAACTACAAGTCCTTGGCTGCCCCAAAGCCTGCCTGTGATGACAGAGTAACCCCTATAGCCTGGATCCTTCCTTTCCCTATGTGGCAGCTTTGCAGAAGGATGGAGAGCTCAGCCAAAGAGGACTGTGTGGCTCCCCGTTACACACATTATTTCCTCCCCCACGAGACTTAATCCTGTTTCTAGGAATGCTGTTATAAAGACAGGTGACCTGGAAGCAATGAGCTCATATCAAAAGATCAGGACATTTTCCTGTTCAAACCGTAACAAGCAGTACCAAAGGCATACTCTTTTTTTTTTTTTTTTTTTTTTTTTAAACAGCATACAGATGGTCCTTGCTGGTCTGCACAGAAAGGACCCAGACCAACAAACCATGCAGTTTCCACCTCCAACAGAGCTGCGAGGCATTTGGGGATGCAGTTCCCTTCTGAAGAGTCAGCATCCTGACCCATGAAGATCATCTCCACCACATAACTCCACAGGAACGGACAGGACTGCTTACAGTATCGGGCCTTGCTGAATCACAATATACTCTGCCAATGAATTTACTTGTTTTTCTCAGTCCTGCTGCTGCTAAGGCAATAGCTGTTCCAAGAACTAATTTAACCTGTAGAAGTAACTCAGTACTTTACAGCTACACATCACCCTTGGCAGCACTAGGGCTATAAAAGATCTAGAAAACACCAAAATGAAACAGAATTCAAGGCAAAAACTACTCACAATACCTCCATTTCTACATTTTCTTTTTCTACTAAATTGATTTGGGGGTACACAAAGACCAGCAAATACACTGACACAATCATTCTGTGATCGGACTTGAACCACTATATTCAACAAATTAAAATCTCTGTAAGCAAGTCAGCCACTTATCACACTGAAGAGTTGGAACATACTTGGCTAATGGGACTCAGCCATATACGCTAGCTGAGAAAGTAAGTTTTTACCCTCCAAATACTCTAAAACAGGTAATTACAACCTAGTCCACCAGTAACCCTGTCGTAGCAGGCCACCAAATTCATCAGGCCCTTAGTGAAGCCATGTTGGCTGTCACCAACCAATCACCTCCTTATTTTCCATGTGCCCTAGCATAATTTCCAGGAGGATCTGCTCCATGATCTTGCTGGGCACAGAGGTGAGACTGAACAGCCTGCAGTTCCCTGGGTCCCTTTTATTTCCCTTGTTAAAAAGAGGGTTGGTTATGCTTCCTCTTTTCCAGCCAGCAGGAACTTCACCAGACTGACATGACTTCTCAAATATGATGGACTGGTGGCTTGGCCACTTCATCCGTCAGTTCCTTCAGGACCCATGGATGGTCACATGGATGTGCACCTTCAGGTTCCTTAGAAGGTCTCAAATCTGATCTTCTCCTACAGTGGGTGGTTCTTCCTTCTCCCAGTCCCTACCTTCACCTTCTGCGACTTGGACAGTGTGGCTGGAGCCCTTGCTGGTGAAGACTGAGGCAAAAAAATTTTTTTAAGTACCTCATTCTTCTCCACACCCGGGTAACCACATCTCCCTTTTCCTTCCAGAGAGCACCCACATTTTCCCTAGTCTTTTATCTCCAATGTACCTGTAAAAAGGGGTTTTGTTGCCCTTGACTTCCCTGGACAGATTTAATTCTATCAGGGCTTTGGCCTTTCTAACCTGATCCCTGGCTACCCAGACAGCTTCTCTATACTCCTCCCAGACTACCTGTCCTTGCTTCTACCCTCTACAGGCTTCCTTTCTGTGTTTGAGCTTGTCCAGGAGCTCCTTGTTCATGAATGCAGGCCTCCTGGCAGTCTTACCTGACTTTCTCTTTGTTGGGATGCATCACTCCTGAGCTTGGAGGAGCTGATCCTTGAATTTTAACCAGCTTTCTTGGGCCTCTCTTATTCCCAGGGCCTAATCCCCTCTTTACCCTGTCAAGCAGATCCCTGAAGAGGCCAAAGTCAGCTGTGAAGACTGACTGAAGATCCCTGAAGACCAGAGTGGTGAGCTTGCTGCCCTACAGATCTTGAACTCCCCCATTTCATGGTCACTGCAGTCAAGGCTGCCTTTGAGCTTCACGCTCCCCACCAGCCCCTCCTTGTTGGTGAGAACAAGGTCCAGCTCAGCACCTCTCCTCATTGGCTCCCCTATCACTTGGAGAAGGAAGTCTTCATCAACTCATTCCAGGAACCTCCTGGATTGCTTGAGCACTGCAGCAATGTCCTTCCAACAGATACCAGGGTCCCCCAGGAGGCCCATGGCTTGTGAACAAAGAGGCTTCTCCTGTGTGTCTATAGAGAGCCTCATCCACTCAGTCTTCCTGGTCGGGTGGCCTGTAGCAGACCCCTGCCTTCCCTTTAATTCTGACACATAAGGTCTCCTTATGTTATAAGTTCATGCTAGACAGCATCAAAGAGTTTGAGCCTCAGCACAAGCCACTGAGACATGCTCAAAAAAGCTTGCAACATCCTTACTGTACTGCAGTATTTTCGACACTTGGCTATGCAGGGGAAGCAGTGGACTCTTCCCAAAGCTGACACAAAGTGCAGTCATGTAACCCAAGGAAGTTCCTACTGCCTAGATGCATTTATCTGCCCTGTTCACAAAAGTACATTCCTGATTCGAAAGCAGGAAGAAAGAGCCTTTGGTCCACAGGTTCATCTTACTCCAGAAAGCTGCAGTACCCCACCTGGGGAACTGGGGGGGGGGGGG